GTCCATTGTCCCGAGGCAAACACACTCCAACCATCAAATTTACAACAGAATCTAGGGGAGTAATTAACTTTTGAATCACACAGTCCCACACACCTTGCTTTCTTTTTTTTTTTTTTTGGTACTGGGGATTGAACTCCCATCCATGCGCTTGCACAGCAGGTGGCGAAACCACTGGGCTAAATCCCAGGCCCCCACCTTGCTTTGTGTATCCTCCTTCACAAGATCAGAGGAGGAGGAGGAGGGCAGGGGTGGGGGTGTGGGCCACTTGCCTAACAAGAAAGCCCTGGGTTCCATCCTCAGCTACACAGACACACACACACACACACACACACACACACACGCACGCACACGCACACACATACACGCACAAATGCCACTCACAGGGACAGAACTGAAAGAGCTCCTCTGGGTCAGGAACTATAAAACTTTTCCATGCTGAACCTCCTTGGGAGTCTCCTTGTTACTCTTATTCGCATATTTCTGCTGTACTTGCCATTATCTTGGAGAATTCATTTTAAGATGGGTGTGGTGGTGCACGCCCATAGTCCCAGCACCCTGGTGGGAGCCTGGGGCTGGATTGCAAGTTTGAGTCCAGCTTAGGCAATTTACAGACTTACTAAACTCTGTCTCAAAAAAATTTAAAAGGGTGGGCTGGGGATTTAGCTCAGTGGTTTCCCCGCCTGCTTTGCAAGCACAAGGACCGGAGTTCATCCCAGGTACCAAAAAAAAAAAATTAAAAAGGAGTAAGGCTGTAGCTCAGGGTGACACCCTCAGGTTTAACTCCCAGTACAAATTTTTGATCACTCATTGAGATAAAAAAAATACAGTGAATGCTGTTGCCGAGAGCCATTCAGTGGAAAGACAGGTTTGTAAAAACATGACACTGTGTCCTCATCCACTGGACCTGGCACACGGAGACCTCCTGCTCCTCCCCAAAGTCAGACTGACCATGAAAGGGAAGTGTTTTGAGTTGATTCACAACATTGAGGCAGCCATGACAGTGCAACTAAAGACACTCAGGAAAGAGGGCGCCAAGCTGCTGCAGAAAGTGGCAGGAATGACAGATTGAGTGTGTTTGAGGCTAGGGGAGTACTGTGAGGGGATTCATGGGAATGTCTTTTACTGTAATTTTTTAAAAATTGAAGCATTCACTGTATTTCTGGTCACACCTGCTATAAGCAAGATTGGCTGTTTGGGTACCAAAAGAGGCTTTGGTGGGGCATGCAGACACCCTGGGGTTTCCATGGTCAGCGATTTGATTCAGTTAAGGCCAGCTGGCATTATTGATGCCATTTAAAAGACCTACTACACAAGAGCAAGAGAGGCTCTGAAGCAGGCATAGTACAATGCCCAGTTCTTCCTCCCTCTTGGGACCCTCAAGGATGCACCTGCCCAGGTAGAAAGACCCACTGGTCTAAACCAATCAAGATGTTCCTTTCTATCCTGGGCCAGTAATTGGCCCAGAGGCAGGCAAGAAAAGGCTCTGGGCCTCATCCCGGCACTGACTGGATAAACAGTGAAGATCATTGTGCCTTATGCCACAGGAAGTGGAGTGGCAGAATTTGCTGGCAAGGTCTTCTGCCTGCAGCAATCACCTGAGGTCATTCCACTGGCCTTGGGGCCTTGCGTCCACCTGTGGACATCACCAGACACATGTCACTGCCCAGGCCACCTGGTCTGAAAACATGAAACCACCAATAAGAACTAGGGACAGATCCCCGTGGCAGGACCCCTGTCCTGGCTCCTGTGCCCCGTCCCATTGGACAGAGGGCAGAGCTGAAGCAGTTGTACTGTTTTTTTTTTTTGGTACCAGGGATCGAACTCAGGTCCTTGTGCTTGCAAGGCAGGCTGTGGAACCACTGAGCTAAATCCCCGGCCCCTGTTTTAGTTTTTTGTTTTTTGGTACCGGGGATGGAACTCGGGTCCTTGTGCTTGTGCAGCAGGCGGCGAAACCACTGAGCTAAATCTCCGGCCCATTTTTTTGGTTTTTGAGACAGGGTCTTGCTATGTAGCTCAGGGTGGCCTTGAACTCACCATGTAGCCCATGCTGGCCTCAAACTCCCAGTATTCCTCCTGCCTCAGCCTCCCAAGTGCTGGGATATCAGTGTGCATCACCATGCCTGGCCCAGCAGCACTGATCTTAAAGCCAAAAGTCTTCTCTCAAGTGTCCTGTGGATACAGCCCTGCGTGTGCTGTTTGGCTTGCACTATTTTTTTTTTTTTTTGTACCGGGAATCAAACTGGGGACTTTGCACTTTCGAGACAGGCAGCGGAACCACTGAGCTAAATCCCCGGTCCTGGCTCACACTATTTTAAACGTTGTTAATGTCTTCTTGAGTACTTAAAAATTAGGGGATTTCACATTAAAAGCTGGATTTGGGCTTTGCTTGAAACCTTGGAAGTACTAGCATCCTCAGGCTCCCAACCATCAGAAGGGCTGGTGTGGCTTCTGCTCCCTAGAAATGGGTGTCAGCCCACCTGTCTCCCCCACATCACCTGACTTTCCTTTCCTCTTGCGATGTAAGTTCCCAGCCTGAGAGCCTAAGTTAGCACGTGCCAGGTCTCCACCAGCAGGGGACTCAGCAACGACAACCCGGGGAGCCTGCGCCTCGCTGCTGCTCCTCTTCTTTGCTAATTTGTCCACGTTTGCACATGATTACATCTATAATGGGGAGTTGATACATAATGCATGTTTTTCTTGTTCTTTTTTTTTTTTTACAGGCGTGCGCCACCACACCCGCTTCCAGACTCAAATTTTTTTTTCTTTAGTTTTTATTTTTTTGGTACCAGGGATCGAACTCGGGACCTTCCGCTTTCGAGGCAGGCGGGGGAACCACTTAGCTAAATCCCCGGCCCTCCAGTCTTTTTTATTTTGAGACAGGAGGCCAGGGTCTGGCTAAGTCCCTGGGACTGGGCTGGAAGTTGAGATCCTCCTGTCTCCAGCTCGGGCACCTGCGCGCCCTGCAAGTACATTTTCAGCAGACGCGGGGACACAGGTACTTCAGGGCTGGGAATCAGATCCAGGCCTCAAGGAGCAAGCAAGCGCTCCGGACCGAGCCACGGCCAGGTTTTCTCTCTACCTTCTTTCAAGTCTGCAGTCACTGGCACCCCGTGTGTCCTCACGCCACATTACTGTTGCACGGACACACACACAATGTGTGTGTCAATGCTCTCCCCTCCTCCCCACACCCGGGTCGCTCGGTTACCTGTGTCCCGGGGCCTCCGATACAGAGCGAAAGCACGCAAACGCGCAGGCGCCAGCGGCGCTTCAGCCCTGTGCGCAGGCGCAGGGCACTCCTTTTTCAGACGCGGCCGGCGGAGGGTTACAGCGGGGGGGGGGGCACTACGTTTATGGCCACTAGGGGTGTGGCCACTAGGGGTGTGGCCTCGGGCGTGGCCAACAGGGTGTCTGGCGGGCGCCGGGGCACCGGCTCAGCCTCAGTCGAGCGCTCCTCGTCTTCCGCGCTGCGCCTCCTCTGCCCGCCGGTCATCCCCGGTCATCCCCGGTCCTCGGCCCCCGGTCCCGGCCTGGCCTCAGTCCCGGCCCTCGCCGCAGTCATGTCGGAGCGGGCGCCGCCCGGGGGGAAGGAGATCCTGGAGTGCCAGGTGATGTGGGAGCCCGACAGCAAGCGGGACACGCAGATGGACCAATTCCGCGCGGCCGTGGGCGCCGCCTGCGGCCTGGCGCTGGGTGAGTGCGGGGCCCGGGCTCCCGGAAGCGGGACCCGCCTCTCCCCGGCGTCGCTGTCGCCTTCTCGTTGCCATCCACCTGGTTTCTGGGTACCCGGGAGCGTGGTCAGGTAGGAGCCCCCTCAGGGCTCAGGATGGAACCTCTTCCCCTCTTGCCTGAATCCCAGCCCCAGACAGATCCGATCAGAGCCGCCTGCCCGCCGGGACCTCAGAAACTTCGCGTCCCCCGTGCCAGGCAGGGGCCCTCCCGGGCTCCGCCCTCGTGGCGTGGCCACCTGCCTGCAGCACCACCCCCGCCCCGACGTCTTTGGGGATTTCATCTCATCACCGCTTCCTCCCCTTCCTGGCGCCCACACCAGCTGCAGGGACGCTCCCCGTCTCTGGTGGGGCATCGGCACTCACGTCGGCCCGTAGAGACAGCGGGGGTCTTCCCGGCACCTGGAGCCCGCCCAGTGGCACCGCCTTCCGCGCTCCCTGCGCCCGAGCCGGGCCCTGGGGGCCTCTCCCCTGCG